TATATTACAATCTATTGTCTTTTTTTTTTTTCAAGAGAAAAATTTATAAATAAAATCTTATATATATAATGTGCTTAGAAAATAATTATATATATATATTCACGAATTTTAAGTGTGAAAATAAAATCTTATTTTAAGAAATCTAAATATGTCATTGTTTACAAAAAAAAAAAAATCACATAATATGTTATTTTTTTGCAGTTTAATAGAAGAAAACAAATCTTATATTGAATATGTATTAATTTATTTTTATTATGTTGTTTTTTCACTGACAATGTCTCTCTTCTTTGCTCTCTTTGCAGGCAGCCATTCCTCAATCTATAACCTCATTTATTTTTGCAAGGGAGTATGGGCTGCATGCTGAGGTTTTGAGCACTGCGTAAGTACTCACAAAACACATCATCTAATATAACAATTTTTAGCGACGGTTTTTAAATCCTAACGGTTCTAAAACTGCTACAAACCCTTGCAATAGCTTTAGAACAACTCTTAGCTTTTTTGTGATGGTTAAGGCTTTGTTTGACGAACAATTATTAGGTGACCGGACGTAGCTCTACGTACGGTCATCACCGAATTACCCGGTATTTGCTCGTTATTGCTAGGTATTGCTTGGCAATAACGAGAAATACCGCTCTGTGAAGACCAATACCGAGTAATACCGAGCAATACCGAGCAATACTGAGTTTTTCTAAAAAAAACTCGGTATTGCTCGATGTTACTCGGTATTACTCGGTATTGCTCAGTATTTGTTTAAACATAATGATATTTCTCGTTATTGCCGAGCAAAATCGACAAATACATGGTTTTGTGCTTGCTACGTGGCGCGATTTAGTGCCGGCGGAACGTAGCTCTACGTCCATTCACCGGATCAAATAAAAGTTCTTGTTTGACACGATTTTTTTACTGTTTTTTAAAGCAGTTTTTATTACAAAAATTTAAATTTTTATAATAGAAAGTTGTTTTAAAAGCAGTAAAATAGCCGTCCCAAACGAAGCCTAAAACCGTCGCAAAAATCTAAAATAAGTATTGCGAAAAGTTCTTTTTTTTTGTTGTGGTGATATTAATCTTTGTATTTATCAATATGTATAGATAGAGTTATAATTATTTATTTATTTTTTTGTTGCAGGGTCATCTTTGGGATGTTGGTTGCCTTACCAATACTTGTTGCATATTATATAATTTTAGGGTTTCTAAATTAATTTGGAAGGAAAATTAATTGAGATGCCTTATTTTTCTTAAATATACTTTGTTTTAATAAGGCATTTTGAATCCCAAAGGGGGGAAATATGATCATGTTATCCATGATCATTCCTCTATGGATGATTCAACAAAAGGATTATTGTAAGCTCTATTATTTCCTTTATTGCATATTACAATATTGAGCTAAGAAACTCTTGTAATTGTACTTTCATAAGTTAATTCTCAATTATATTATATGGTTTTTTTTATTTACAAAATATTAGAATTTAATGGTTAATGATGATGGTCAGTTGACGGTGGTTCATCGGCGATTGTCCGATAATGATGGTAGGGTGGTGGTTTGATAAAGTTTCGTGGTTCTTCAAATTTCTAAGCTTTTTTGAATCTCTAGTCTAAGCCTCAGTCCTTTTCATGGAGAAAATAGGAGATTATTTATAAATTTTTTTACAGTGGCATGCCTCTTAAATATAGCTAAAATTTAGATTATTCTATCGACTGCCCATATTGATTTTCTAAATCTTAGGTCATTCTTTAAGTATTTAAGTGCCTTAATAAAATCAAAATATGATGATTTTGGGCTCATTGAGACATTCAATTTAACTATAAGAATGCAAGATTATTTGATCTTCCAATTAATATCCAAATTTTTTAATTAGGCTTCAAGTGTTTGATTTCAACTCACTTAATTTGATTATAAGTTCATTTAAATCACAATTTGGATGATTCTAAATCTAATTTTAAAAGTTTGTTAGTTCAAATATGCATTACAAATTCATGTCCGATCGAGTTAATTTTAGCTGAGAAATTAGTTAAATACAAGAAATCATTCTATAACAAATTTCAACATCTATCAATAGCAAATTTATTCTTTATATTGCCACATTTGGCATGATATGATCTTAAAGCAACCAATTATTGTACCCTCTATAACTTATTCAATTTGTTATCATTATAAGAATACATAAACTTTCAAATGCATCATTTTCATGGCTACTACGTGTCATGAACATGTCGATCGATTAACATAAACCATTCTTAAGAAATTTCCTTGAGTGAAAATCACGTAAGATCAAGCTCTTTCAGACTTCCCCATCTCGTGATTATTGATCTCTACCATAAAATTCTTCTAGACAACATGATACAAACAATTATCATCTTCCCTCAAATTGAAGACATAGCCTATGGCCTATATTTATGATGTCTCATAATCCTCCATACATAGGGAGCAAACTTCCTTTTTTTCTCATAAATAACTCACTACATAGAAATACCTCAAATAACTAATACACAAATAGTAAAACCTTCCCTTCTTTTGACCATTTCATGTGAAAGTTAGAATATTTGTTGGGACTGTTGGGGGCCTTAGCCTATTGCTCCTACTCTCCTATGATCTTTGCATGATACACCTAAGAAATTCTCTCATAAATAATCTTCTAGTCTTCCTTGAAATGTGCCTTAGAACTTAGCCATGGAAGTGTGAAGTTCAAGATTGATGTCTTATTGAGAATAGCTATAATAAAACTGCCTCGAACTGAATAAACAAAAGGATAGGCTTCAAGAAGTTGAGGTTCACATAGAAACAAGGTGTTGAAGAGTGGAAGTTTTACAAATAAAATATGGAAAGAATTATTCTAAGTTAATTGAGAAGCTAAGATAGTTGATTAAACTAAGATGCTATGTCTCTTTGAGAATTAGAGAGTAATTATAGGCTTAAATGCAGGTAATATTAAGGTTTAATATGCACTAAATGACAAGGGAAATCTATGTAGCTCCAATTACAAGACTTCTGTTGAGTTAGAATTTGTAAATACATAACTTGTTTAGGTCCTCATAACACTTGGATTAGCAGTTGTGTTGATTTTGGATAGGGATGTCAAAAGCGGTTTCAGGTCGAACCCAAATTTGACCTAGCACTTTTTAAACTGACCCGAACCCAATCTATTTTTGCAAACTGGTCGGTTTTTCAGACCCGAACTCGACCCACTTCTTTTATGTTTTACTAAATTTTTTATTTAATTTTTTTTCTTAAAGGTTTCCTGGACCACCTGTCCAAGCACATGCATATATCTATCTATCTATCTATCAAGAAATGTCTTCGGCTAAATCGAATTAAGGTAAGATTTATTTCAATCAATCTAAAATAAACCAAGCTTAATTTAATTTGGGCCACATGGATTATTATGTTTGGGAAATAGTATTTATTTCTTCCATAAAAATATTCTAAAATTCTCTAAAATCAATTAAAAACAAGTCAAACTAGGTTGATTTGGGGTTTTCGGGTCCACCCGAACCTGACCCAATTTTACAAACACGTCGAAATCCCTAACCCGACTCGATTTACATATCCACCTGAAACTGAAATTTTTGGGTCGGGTTCGTGTTGGGTTTTCGGGTCGGATCAAAGAAATACACCCCTAATTTTAGACCAATGTTTCATTTGGGACGACTGATTTTAATGCTTCTTAAAGCATGTTATTTCTTAGTACAAAAATTATAAAATTGTACTAAAAAACTATTTTAAGAAGAAAAAAGAAAGCGGTCACAAACGAAGCCTAAATTAATGTGAGCTTCCAAATAATGATCGGGAGAAGTACTGTTGTTTAATTTGGCAATTTTTTTGCTTCTTGGTTGATAAACTTATTTTTTAGATTTTTCTTTGTTTTTCGCATGATGAACTCAATAGCGATATTAGATTGTTCAAATAGTTCACCTTCTTTTAAGGGATTTTTTTTTTCGCATTTCAAAAAAATTAGAAGTACGAGAGCACTCAAAGTTAATCACATCTCCTAAGAGAAAGAATACTTTCAATTAAAGCACTTAATATTGGCTCTTTCATATGGTGCCGTTATTACAATAGGGCTTAACCACCTAGTCAAAGGGCCTTCATCATAACCTTATTATAATATTTTCAGCACATTTTTTTTATATTTCACCCCCAAGCAGAGGTTATTAATAGATCGTTAGGCAAATTGTTAATTAAGATATTTAGTCGGTAAAAAATGTTCGCATTTGGGACTTGCATCTTCCTACTTTTGAGTTTGCTTATAATTCTATTATTTCTAAAATGAATAACAAAAACACATTTGGAAGCTTTTTATGATTAAAAACCAAAATAATCAATAGATCATTAAATGTTGTGTTCACCTTTGTATAAAAATTTCATAACCTATAAGAATAAATAGCTAATTTAATTAAGTAATATATTTAAATATACATATAAGTTAAATTCTATACATTCCTTCAAGGAATATAAAGAATGTGATCAAATCCTCCCACCTAATATATTAAGCTTCATGATAGGACTTGTGGCCCATTCAAAATTCTTAAGAAACTTAGATGAAATTTTTATCTTCTTGAATTACTTTCTAACATATGACATACAACTTATTATTAATGTTGATGATATACCGACTTAACAAGAAAGTATTAAGACTACTCAAAATTTGAAAGATAACCATACTGTATGACATATAAGTTTAATTGTATGGGCTCCTCATACTCCTTCTGAGAGTACTTAGATGACTAAAGAAGACATAGAGAAGCTTGCACCAAGTCTTGTTGACGACTATATGAACTTTAACTCTACATATTAGAGTTCTTTAAGATTCAATGTAGTTGATGTTGCACGTACAAAGATAAATGTCAAGGATAATATCACAAACAATACTCTACATCAAGATTTAGGTTGTTCATCATACACAATTCTCCATACATCTATCCAAAATCTAAATTCAAGTTTTTAGATTCATATATCAAGTGAAAAACAAACCTCCTAAGAGAGAAGAATGAAAGAATTAAAGAAGCAAATTACACTTCTAAAGAGAATATGTTCTATGAGCTTGAAGGTTTTATTAATTTTATGGAGTTGTGAGTTTGAATTTATAATAAATAGACTTTATGATCAATTTTCAGCCATTATTTTTCTCAATAGATACAAAATGTTTGACTTTAGATGCCCCATAAAATGCTTAATTTGCCAAGTATCCACACTATTTGTATTTTTGAGCAAAATGCATTTATACTTCTCTTTGCAACGCAGAATTATTTTGTACAGTCACTGGACGATCTTGAGGCAAATTAGAACACGTCATGTCACCCAGTACACAGTACCGATACACAACAAAAAATAATGTGACGCATCCTGATTCCTTTCTGAACACCATCCGATAACCACACAGAATAATTTCTCCCACTGCACACTTTCTCTCAATGAGAGAGCAGAATCACTCGTGGCTCTTCTTTTTTTCATGAAAATCAAAAGGTTAAAGTAAAAGCCTTAACAAGGAATTTCCCAAAGTAAAAGCCTTAACAAGGGAATAAAAGGAAGTGCAAAGCGAGTTCTTCTTCAAAGACCCAAAAAGATGTCTCCAAAGGAGCTGTACAATGTTCTCAATGCAGTAGTTCCCCTCTATTTCTCCATGCTCCTTGCTTATTCCTCCATCAAACACTTCAAGCTTTTCACCGCCGACCAATGCTCCGGCATCAATCGCTTTGTCGCCATCTTCGCCATTCCCCTCCTCTCCTTCAACTTCATCTCTCGCATCAATCCCTTTCATATGCATTTCCTCTTCCTCGCAGCAGACTCCCTCTCCAAACTGTTCGTTCTCTTATTACTCTTGTTTTGGTCTCATCTCTTCAAAAATGGCAGCTTGGACTGGTCTATAACTCTCTTCTCCATTGCCACTCTCCCAAACACGCTTGTCATGGGAATTCCTCTTCTGAAATCCATGTATGGAGATGAACAGGAAGACTTAATGATTCAATTGGTGGTGATGCAATCCATTATTTGGTACACTGTGCTCCTCTTTCTTTTTGAGTTTCGTTCTGCAAGGAATTCATTGATGGAGAAAAGGAGTAGTAACAGTGTTAAAGAAGAGAGAGGGGTCAGCGAAGAAGAATTAGTTCATGTTGTTGTTGCTAATTATTCATTAGCTGAGAATGAGATTCAAAGATCTCAGTTCGTGACTAAGGTATCTCCAGAGTTGGAAGAAGAAGAAGAAGACAATGAAGAAAAGTTTCCTGGAATTGAAGAACTAAGCAAACAACAAGGCACGCATTAGTGGAATCAACGGCTAATTTGATCTTGAACAGCAAAAAACTTTAATTTTTATGCTTTTTTATTTGCTTCTTTTGATCTTCAGCAGGTGTTTGTGAGAGCTCAGTGCAGGTTTTCAGCAGAGAAGATGAAATCATGAGGGAAGAACACGAGAAATCTCAGATTGGAAGGCTCTCAGTTCTTTTAATTTTGAGATTGGTCTGTCACAAGCTCATTAGAAACCTTAATTTCTATGCTAGCGTGCTTGGTATTTCCTGGGCTCTGATTTCTTCCAGGTTCTCTTTCTCTCTCTCATCTTTCTTTTTCATGAAATAGAACAAATAATAGGTTATATGGGTTAATAAATCTAACATTTAGCTTACTAATCCTTTTGCAATCTTGACTTAACTGAGTCATTAGGCCTCAAAACTCTTCTTCCTCTTCTCAATCCCTAATTTCTGGAGTTACAGGCTAGCTCAAAACCCTCCACAGCCATAACAGGTTCTTATAATTTTTGCTGACTAACACTAATGTAGATGGAATGTGAAGAAGCCATTAATGATGGAGAACTCAATCACCATTCTGTCAAATGCTGGGCTGGGAATGGCCATGTTCAGTCTTGGTAAGATCTTTCTGTCAACCATAAATTATTCTGTGCGGAGTCCGGACGGGAAGAATCATCTGAATTGTGAGTGCACACATACTGTATACATAGTACACACAGTGTATGTCACATCTGTGTATACACACTATATACAATATGTATACACTTACATGTTCGGATGATTCTTCTCGTCTGGACTCCGCAAAGAATAATTTCTTCTGGTAAACAGGATTATGATCCCTAAACCTTTTCAGTACACTTAATTAATTACAATTACCAAAATGAAGGGCTCTTCATGGCCATGCAACCAAGCATTATAGCATGTGGGAAGAGGCTGGCTGCTTATGGGATGATTATAAGATTCATTGCTGGACCAGCTTTCATGGCACTGAGTTCAGTTCTTCTTGGCATCAGAGGCACCACTCTGAAGGTCTCAATTGTTCAGGTATCAATCTTCAGTGTCTTATGAATTTAATTATTATCTATAAATATATTAATTTAATTTTATTACTAGGCTGCTCTGCCTCAAGGAATTGTGCCTTTTGTGTTTGCAAAGGAATATGATCTTCATCCTGAGATGCTCAGCACTGCGTAAGCTCTTCGTATTATTTTAGGATTTATTTTGGGAGAAATTATTCTGTGCGGAGTTATATTCACACATGCGAGTGTACACTATCTGTATACAATATTGCATACACACTGTGTATGAAAATAAAAGTATATAGTGTATGTACACTGTGCACACTTACAGTCTGGATGCAACTCTGCGTCCAGACTCTGCACAGAATGATTTCTTTTGTTTGGGACAACTGCAGCACTTTATGAAGTTGTTATAAGAAAAATAACTTGACTATTCTGATTGCAAAAAGCAACTTTGCAATATAAAAATTTCTAAAAAAAATAATGAGAAAACAACAAAAAAATAGTAGCAAAACAGGATGGTGGTTGCGGTTTGAAAAGTAAAGCAACGAAAAAGTTGTCTCAAACAGACCTGTAATTTTTTTTCATTTTAAGAAGATTTGAGTATGGAATTTATATATTTATTTACATTTTTACAGGGTTATATTTGGGATGATAGTGTCATTGCCAGTGACAATACTGTATTATATGGCATTGGGCTCATGAATTATTTTGGGGGCTTTGGATTTCACTGTGTTGAGATCACTGAAGAATAAACAGAGAAGTCATTAGCGCTAATTAGATAATTAATGATTTCTCACTGATGTGAAGGTTGTTAATTAACAACATTATCATCATTTCAGCCCAAGCTTATAATTAATGTATAATTTTCATATGTTTTTGTGCTTTATGAAGAATACTACTTACCTTCTTGTCAGAGTTATGGGCTTTGTATGCGACCGGAAAAATTATGGAAGGTTATTCTGAGAGGCTTAGTCACCCTTAGATTTACGCTGAGATTAGTGAGATTCTCATAAATCAGATGTAACGCTATATTTATATAACATATAAATGTGTTAAAAATAAATAAATTTTCTAGTAGAAATCAGCATTTGTGAAAGTTGTAATAAATATGTAGTTTATTGCATTCATCTCAAAGCAGATCTAAGGGCTTTAAAATCCATCGATCATGACCTAAATTTTAATCATGATAATTTGGTTTTTTTTTTTTTTTTCTTATATTACTAAGGAGTTTGCAAAGAAAAAATTAACATAAACATTTATTTGATAATAAATATAGTTTGATTAACTATTCATGCTTAATTAAACTAACTAGAGATTAATCAAATATGATCTTAATTATTACTAATTAAGCATGCAAGTGTGGCTCTACTTAACTCCCTAAACCTTAATTTAGGCAGGATTTCTTAACATTAATGACCATAAAATATTTGATAAATTTATATCTTCATTCACTAAATTCTCAGATTTAAGAGGTCCATTTAAAGTCATTTGAAGCCATTTAAGGAAAGCCTTATAATGAGATTTTCATTATAATAATTATATTATTTTTTAAGTATTTTGTGTTAAAAATATATATTATATGAGAATGGACTTAAGAATTATTAAATTTGTTTTAAAATTAGTATTATATATGTGAAATTTATATTGCACTAATCCCAAAGCATAATTAATGATTATCTTTTTTATTCTTATATAATTTATATTATACATTATTCTTTTTAAGAAGTTAATAACATATGTAGTTAAAAGAAATTGTCTCATTGTTCATTTACATTAAAAAAAAAACTTTTATTGCACTAATCTCAAAGCATATTTAATGATCATCACATTTCTCTTACTAGACATATTTTTTTCTATGTTTTAAGAAATTAATAATATATGTAGTTAAAAAGATATAATTTCTTTATTCAATTAAAAATATTATATTTCACTAATCTCAAAGCATATTTGTGATAATCAAATTGATCATATTAGACATAAATTTTTCTATTTTTTTAAAGAAATTGATAATATATATAGTTAAAAGATATTATTTCATTATTCATTCACATCATATTTTGTTTCTAAATAATGTATATTATATTGTATAATATATTGCTTTAATAATTGTGAGAAACATTATTGTAGCAAAAATCATGACATTGAAGTCAAAGTTTGCATCTGGTAATTAATGCTGAGCTTTTGCCACCATCCCTTATAAAGTCCTTTACTCAAAATCAATAATATTGACAAGAGATTTGTGGGCTCCACCCAAAAATAAGTTTTTCAACTTTATGTTTACATATAATAAGGCTTCATTTGGGACTACTTTTTACTGCTTCTTAAAATAATTTTTTAATACAAAAATTAAATTTTTTATACTAAAAAGTTGTTTTAAGAACCATTAAGAAAGCTTAAAAAAAATCCCAAACGAAACCTAAACCTCGTGGAATTCTAATGGATGTCAATTTTTCTTTGGGAAGACTTTCTTACTGCTTCTTAAATCAACTTTCTAACATAAAAAATAAAATTTTTGTTCTAAAATATATATATATATATATTATGCTCATGGTTTTTTTTTTTTTAAGTTTGATAATATCAAAATATTTCTCAAAATAATATATATAATTAGAAGAAATGAATGTATTTAATATGATTATAATTATTTTAAAAACTAGCATTCAAAATCAAAAACATAAAATTCAATATTTATATAATAGTCAATAAGTGAATTTAATGCTATTATCTAGTTACCCTTATTAGAAAATATTTACCTTCGGCTTGCCTTCCAACAAGTGAAACAAATTATATAAGAATATTTTAATATAATATGCATCATAACAAATCTACACAAAAAGAAACAAAAGAATTATTATTCGCCGGAAGGATCGACGAAATTAAGGACAGAAAATTTGCCTATAATTTTTGAAGGAATTTCTGATGGATTTCCGACGTAAATTTTCATCGGAATTCTATTGAAAAGCAGCCTTAATTCACCATTTTGTTCTTCTGCCCCCTCATTAACTAGAATTTGTATTCACATTATTTTTAAATATGACACTAATCTAAATGTAAATCCAAAGATAACAAAACTACATGAATTCCATCATAATATCTTATGGCAAATTTTTTTGTTCCATGCAATCACAAGCTTGTGTTGACCGACTGTGTGATTACCACGTTGGCTGTTTGAAGTTGTCGACAGTGACCGAGTAGAACAAATGTCGTTGGCGGTGCAGAACAACAGTAAGGAATTTGGAAATGATAAATATATCTATTCTTTTTTAATTTCAAAATATGCTTTGAAAATAAAAGCTAACATAGGAAATCCTGATTAAAAAAAAATGAAAAAGTTTATTTTATAGTGCAAGTTCTTGCATAGAATTTGGTCCTTGAGGGTGTTGCGATGCTAAAGATTAGGCGCCACGACACTAATAAAATAAAATTTATATAAATTTGTAAGAAAATTTTCCATAATCCATTCCATTTTCACTTGTTTCCTTTGGCCGAGAGAGGAGGAGAAGCGAAAGAGAAGAAAGAGAGGAGAGAGAAGCTAGGCTCAGAGGTCTTAGTGCTGGTTTTGTCTGTCATCTCGGATCTGGAAGGCTGTACCTCCAGGCACCACGGGATGTTGTGAAGGGATAGAAAGATATGTTTTGTACTCACAAGAAGAAAGTGCATAAATAAGTAATTTAATAGAATATATCATAGTAAATAACAAGTGAGATATTGAACTTTCATTTCATCAATATGAATTCTAAATATCAATATACCAACACAATAGGATTAATAAAAGTAAATGAAATGTAAAGGGAACAATAATAAAAAAGAAACTATCCAACCGTCAAAAGTAAATACATAATAATCTACTGTAAAATATAAGAATACCAAATAGGGTCCACTAAGCACTTTGGTAGAATCTACTATAAAAAGGCAACATTAATGACTAAGGTTGATAGCTCAATCCTAATACGTAAGTCATATCTATTAAAACATAAATGTCAAAAGAATGAGGCATTTAGTATGACCAATCAACAAGTATGAGTAGAAATCAACAATCAATGTATCTATGTAATAATGTTTCATCTCATTTTTTTTAGGAGAAAACCCAGGGAAGGGCCTACGTGTTAAAATAAATAAAAAATTGTAAGGCTCTTAGGGGGGCCTTTAGCTCACTAATGCTCGAAAGAGCTACAAAAATGAAATAAGAAAGAAAATCTACGAGCCAAAAGTCATCTATACTCCAAAATACAAAATTACAACTAGAAAACCACCCAATACCCATGTGATAACACCACCCATCAACATAATCAAATGAACAATAAAACAACTCAGTGAGATGAACAACTAGAGAACCCCAATCAGCAACACCATAAATATCAAAACCCAAAAATCAACTAGTACCAAAGCCACCCCTAATCAATACTCATAACAACCATATAAAGTGAAACCGAGCCAATAAATAGCACCAACCAACTCCCAACAAAAAAGACTATAAGTGAGACCTAACCAAAAAAATATAAAAATAGATATACTGAGAACCAGAAGATTAACAGAATAGCTCCCAGAATACAAAATAAGGAACCAAAGACCCATCCAACGACAAAGACCACCATAAATGCTAATAACAAAAAAAAGAGAATATCAACTAATACAGATATAAGGCAGCCCAGATTTGTCCAAATTAACCAAGCCTCTCACCAAAGGAAGTAAATTTGTATCATCAAACTCCTGATACATCAAGATGACACTCAAATTTGGCCAACCAATCAGCACAAGAATTGCCCTCTTGATAAATATGAGAAATAGAATAATTAAGGGAAGAGAGTGAATGTTTAATTCTTTTAATAATATAGAAATTTTGAGGATTACCAGGAACCTCATTTTGAATGATTTGAATCAATAGCATAGTATCCACCTCAATCGACACATGCTTAATCCCCAATCTATGACATATATCAAGCCCATGGGATAAACCCTTCAGCTCGATAGTAATCACCTTACAAAGATTTAATATACCAACAAAAGTAGCTATAACACCACCATACTGATTACGAATAATATTATCCACACCCGCAAAAGAGGCCCCAACATAACCATTGGAATTGAGTTTAAGATAAGGAATGGAAAATTTTATCCACTTCACAGTTCTCTCAATTTTATCCAATGGCTCACACTCAATGGATATGCCCAACTGTAAAGTCATATCTAAGCAATTACTAAAGTCTTTAACACAGTAATAAGATTAACATAATAAAATTGTAAATTTTTTTTCTAACATTGGCAATAATTTGGTTAGCATCAATCTTAATCTCATTATGCTTGGATTCATTTCTAGCCCTCCAAAGATTCAACATAATAAAGATCGGCATTAAGTTATAGATGTGGCCTTTAGTATTAGTTAACCAACAAAATGGATAAAACGTCACTATTGAAATTAAGATTACCTTTGTTAGCTAGATAAAAAAGTAGCTCCAAACATTATGAGTAATGCCCCCATTAATAAAAACATGGTTAATATTTTTAGTGTTAAAATAACATTGACATTTAGAAGGAAAACTAAACCCTTTTTTTCAAAGTAAAGTATCAATAGGAAGAAAACCTTTAAGACATCTCCAAAAAAAAAGGAGTAAGCTAAAGGAATGTTGGAGTAAGATAAAGGAATGTTGTTGTGTCAAATAGTAGAATAAATGTAAAAATTCTCATAATTAACTCTAATAGTATCCCAAACATTTTCCAAATTAAACTTACTAGACGACGATAGATTAAACAAAATTTTATCCTTGCACTGTAATTGTAAAGGAATATTCAAAATACTATCAATTAAAATAATAGAGATAACCTCCATAAGTTTATTAAAATTCCAAGAGCTATTATCAATAAAACTATGAACCTTAATATTAA